TATTTTCTGTGTTACATATACGCCTCCAGAGAAAGTGGGTAGCCTGAGCTCTGCGCCAACTACAGGAAATGTCTATTGATTTGGATTTCGAATCCACGGTGAATGACACATTGCTCTGTATGTCGCAAATTAAATCATATATTGATTAGTGGGATGGATTCTAGGTGATGGTTTGTGGTTCTGTTGTGAGCTAGTATACAATGCAGATAGTATGAAGATGGATTTATGTATACGGGTACTGTTTGTTTCTCAAAGATCTCCGCTCAACTAAAATACGTGCAGTTACATGATCTCTAGTCTCCTGATGTCCATCATGTCGCCAACAGACGCCATGTCTTTAACTTGCGCGATAATGTTACGATCTGACGCGATTCTCTTGTATTCTCCGCCGCGCTGTCGCGCCAGCAAAAATGCGCCAAACGGCTGTCCAGGTGAACAATCAATCGCAATGCCCGCGAGTGAGACTCCGAATGAACCGGCTCATTTTCTGAAGGGGGCAGCGTAGATTCGGACACGGACAAATCTTCCACGCTCTCCGTATCGTCTGCAGGGTCAGGCAGCTCAAGGAGATGACGGGTCCATGTGCGGACAAGCAACAACGTGCGCCAAGCTGGCAACGGCAGTGTCCGCGAGAATTGAGGCAGCTTGTCTTCCGTGGTTATATCTAGGTCATGAAGCCCATCTGCCTTGACTCCGTACGTGCAACGTCTCTCCTTGTTTTGGCCAGGCTTCCGCCTGACTTCTGTGACGGGAAACACAATGCAAGGCAGATGCAACCGGCGGTGTGCGAACCGTGGAGCGCTCAGGCAGTCGAGTGTCTGATACAACCTCGAAGCCGAGTCTAGAGCAACTGCGCATCGTAGAGAAGAGACTGATGACTGAATGTCTTCTTCTGATAGAGATGGCAGCTCGCATGGGGGAGCTTTGTACGAAGTGATGTCGGCTGGTAGACAGCTATTGAACGTCGATGATTTCCCGACCCAGTCTAGTGCAGTGATATCGCCTGACTGTGCTATGACCTTCCGGATAAGCCGCCCAAGCGCGTATTGTTTCTTCTCGCCATAATCCACACGTAGGCGAACGCCGAAGACACCGGATAATGAGTAAGCGATGTCTTCCTGCAATGTTGTGACACGCGCCGACGCCCACTGGAGTGTCTCTCTGGCGCATTTCATCCCGGACGGAAGGCCACAATGGCTTCTCGATCTATGCCTGTCGCACACTCCAACTCCTGCATGATCGCGACGGACTCCTTATGATTGGGAGAGCGATCGTCGAGGTATAGAGTCCAATCTTTCTGATAAAAGAGAATGACTTTGGAAGCGAGGAGTTCTTGAGCTGTCCATCCGCGTGTGTTCCAAGCGCTATTTGTCAATGCGCCGGACTTCGACGAGGGTGGGACATCTGACAGGTAGATGATCGTAAGCGCCGAGTGTTGATACCAGGCAAACATGGAGATGATTGCTTCTTGGCGCTCGACACTATTGGTCTTGTCGATGCAGCACGTATCGCTCCATGCCCAGCGATATCCCGCACGGCGAGCGATTTTGCAGAATGATTGCAACTTCACCATGCTGCCAATTGGATTCAGCTCGTACAAGACCTTGTCCTGAATATCCTGCAGCAGCGGCTCCTTCCTTTCCCACCTGTGTGATAACATGGCATAACGGAAGTACGCCGCGACTGTTTCTTTGATGCGTTTCATTCTGAAGTCTGTATGCGTGATTGTTGATGACACAAGCTCCTTGTACTCTACACTCGTTTTGAAGGCGCTTATCTGCGCCTCTCGGTCACATAATAGTCCGGTGGTGGTGTCGAGTACACGAAATGGAGCGTTTTCCAGATGAGCATCAATGACCATTCGAATGTCACGTGCTGCTTCAGATGGATTAAGATACTGCTGGCGCAGCTCTGCAAAAAGAGTTAAGCATGTCGACACTTGCATTATTGGGAACTTACGTTGGGCCGGAACGTCGGCGGCATCGTCCAATTTGGACATCACAATTTGGAAGGCCTGGATCGCTTCATCATAGCGTTGTGCACCATGAAGCGCTGTGTGCTTTAAATTGTATCCAAGATAAGATGAAGGGTTGAGTTCGATGACCTAAGTATTACCGCAATAAGCATCGATTATGAAATGATAAATGTCAATGCCATCGCACCTTTTGCGCATCGTAAAGTGCTTCGATCCATAACATTTTTCCCGATTTAGCCTTACTGCGCTTTGCGAAGATGGTATCAGATGCAGAACCCAGCTCGATCGCTGCTGAGTATAGGTCAATAGCTCTGTCATAATCGCTTGCAGCGAAGGCAACATCTCCGTTGGCAGCACAGAGCTCGCTGCATTTTTGCTTGAAAACTGAATGAGATACAGGTGAGGATGGTGAAATAGGTGATATGACTGAAGACTTGCCGGTAGACCAATCAAGGGAGTCGGCCTTCGCAGTTACATCACCTACATGCATCATATGCTGATACGATCCGATGGCTTCCCACAGTCTACCCATCTGAAGGAGTGCATGGCAACGTTTTTGGTTTGCAGTCATCCACAATGACGCAAGGTCCCACCCAAACAGCTGCAACATAGCGCCAAGTTGAACATGAAAAGATTTTCGGTTGCATATCAACGTACCACCACAAAGTCGTCATATCTAGAATGAATGGCCGATCGAGATGAGAATATGTTCATCTTGACAACCGCAGTGAAGTGGTCAGCAGCTTCATTGTGACGCCCACCATCTAAGGCATTGATTACCAGTTGGACTCGTAAGTACGCCTGATGTCCAGATAATCAGTGTCGATATACAAGCTAAGGCATCACCGAGTCTCACTTCTACAATACGACATGCAAGGATATCGTTCCGGCAAGTGGCAGCGAGCTCTTGCACACGTATAATTGCTTCCTCATGCTGACCTGCATTGAAGATTGCGATAGCCTGAAAACCATGAAGACAGGAGTATGTCGGAATAATTTAACGTGCCTTGATCAAGAGAAGAAAAATCACAATCTTTGAATCTTCGTTCGCGAACGTGAATGCGAGATCAAATGCTTGGATCGAATCCCGGATGTCCCCTTTCCCGCCGAGGGCGATGCCCTTGGAGATACAGCCTGTCAAGGAGGGTTGAATGCTGATGGACTATGTCGTGATGAGAGTTAGCCTCTCATAATGATCTGTGGTGGGTCAGTATATCTCACCTTGATCGCATCCTGGAGCGCATGGTCCCAGTGGTGCTTACGTGCCATAACAAACGAGCGATTAGCATACGAGGCGTACTTGTTGGCATTGGCATTGATATCTTGTGTGAGAAGTTTTTCAGCAGTAGACAAGTCCCCCGCGATGCATGCATTGCGGGCGGGCGTGTCAATGGCGAGGATCTGGCACATGAAGCATGCTCAAATTGCATTTTCAGAGTAAAACATGCAGACGTGCCCTAAAATCAGAGTCTTGAGCCTTGAAATAAAAAAGACAAGATATGAGATGGGGCATGGACGAGAAAACAACGGAAAAATACCTTTGGTGCCGGTGCATTGAGAACTTTCTCTGGTAAAGCATCCTTGGGTACTGCCTGCTCTGATATCATCATATCAATACCATCGAGGATGTGCTTGTCGTCCATGGAGAAAGTGACGCAGTCCGTCAAGTGTGGGTGTTGGAAAATGGCGATGGTCTGTCGATCTGAGAGCTGACAGAAGTGAACATGCGTGTCCTCAGATGCGGAAACGACAGGTATGCCAGTGGGATGAATGGCAATGACATTGATGTCGTTAGCACGACCTGTCCAGCAAGAGGGTTCACCGACCTGCTGCCAGCTCAATGCATCCCGCTCCCGTATGGTCGGATCCCCATTGCTAGCTGAGAGGTGGCATGAGATAGCACGGTTATTGTGTGCACAAGGCGATGGTGCAGTCGGGAGGTACCACAAGTGAAGGGGATATCTGAGCGGTTCCCCATTGAAACCTTGGGTCAAGACAATGCTTTCCACTTGGCCATCCGAAAAATGTCCACTGACGAGAGGTTGGGGGCGCATACCCTGCGACGGGACTTTCGACAGATGACACTTGACCGTAATGATATTTGGACGCTCTGCAATTCATGAGTATGGCTGTAATGAGACAATCCGCCGAAGATTCACCTTCTTTGGGTGAGAAGAGGACAGCAGAACCCGTGATAACTTGCTTCTCACCAGCTGATGGTGTGGGAAAATCTGGGGTATGAGTTGCCAAAACACATTCTTTTTGGCGGCGTGGCCAATCCTGAAGATTGTCACTGAGGGCGTCCATCACGCGACCGTCGTAAAAGACTTACGCTTTGGAGGTGTTCGGAAGTTTGGCAGCAGTTACACCGCATCGAAGTGGGCCTGCAGCACACCTGCAAGGGTACTAGGGATAGGGGAAAACAAGATTAAGATGAGTCCGTAGGAGATAAAACAGTGGTTCGTTATGGAGCTCATGGCGAGTCCGTTGAGCCTAAATATGGCTGGAGCGCGCTTAGGTTACAAGGTTTAGGAACTTTAGGTCGACTTAGATTCCCCTCACTGAATCACGGTATCTGTGTGAGAGAGGTGAAGGCTATTAAGCCCGCATGAAGAAACGTGAGTTGTGCGGGATGACGGGATCGGAGTTTGAGGCTTTGAGGAGAAATCATAGTTTAAAGCCTGAAGGCCTGATGAGGCGATGTTCGGATCCAGGCACTGTCAATCTGCAGACTGTGCCAGTTGTAGGCTGAGCTAAACGGGATGAAAAGACGAATCGATGGGTAATGCACATGTCCTGTATCCGCATTGATCCCACTCTCTAGTTTGGTTCCCGTTGTATGGAAGACAGGACTGCCGCGCTCACTTAGTCATGTCACAATCGCATATAAGGCAATAGGACTCCGTGCACTTCAATCTCGAATAAATAAGTTATTTACAAGTGTTCTTTCCAACTTGAAAGTGTCTCTGCCTGGCAGCGCTCGGATTACAAGGTCCATCGTAACTCATCAAAATAAGTAACTCTCCTAAGCATATACTTCCAACTCAAATCCTGGCCACTTGCAATAGTGGTTACAGAGGTGCCTTGCCTTAAAGTCGTCCACCACACTTGCAATGTTCCCGTCACCGAAAAGATCAATTCCTTCATTGACTGAGCTAGAGAAGCAGTTAATGAAGGTCACCAACCATAGTAGCTGAAAATACACATACCGGTGGGTCAAAATCTGAGGATCAGTCAGAAGCTCGGTGCTGCCTTGATAATCAGAAATGAACGCCAGACCCTCTGTCTTTTCATACTGGATGTGCTGAGTAAACGAGAGAAAGACGGCTAGGTCATAGCCGTATTCATCCTCATCAAGTGAAGGTCCGTAGTCCTTGTTGTGGATGAACTTCACGAATGTCTGATCATTAGGAGTACCAGACGTCACCCGCTCCTCAAGGAGATAAACCGCCGAAAACATCCCCGCCTTAATGTCTGCCATGGGAGCTTGTTCGGAGGTGCCCTGAGTGTTTGACGAGTGTCGAGAAAACGCCAAAGCAATGCCCGCTTCCACGAAACGCACACGGGGTATTGGAAAAGATGGCAGAGTTGGTGCGGCATTGATACAGTGATCGATGTATTCGTAAGTGAAGTCAAGGAGAGATTTTGCCCAGTACAACAAGTTACATTCATTGAGGAGTTTTTCATGCTCATCTGGTAGTGCGTAACGTGAAATCTTGAGGATGCTGGATCCAGGGGTGTGAGGGGGAGGTCTGTGAAATGGCCGCTTGACAACAACATCCTGCTGAGCACGCGACCCAAGGCCACTGGAGGATAGGGGAGATAGCGTGAGCCACCCTGGATGAGCTGTCTTAAAGGCACCGATACCGATCATGCTGCGAATGGGGACATCGATAGTGAGTTGTCCGATAGACGAATTTGAGATGTTGGGTTTGAATGAACGATACTGAGGAGTCTTCAAGATATCGGCTAGTGGGCGCACAGGGATTGGATGGAATTGAATGTCCTCATTGCGGAAGTCATAAACTAAAGTCAATACTCATTAGAATGCCTGCCTCAAGACAAAGGATGAACTCACCTTTAGGTGCACGCACAGCATCTACACTACCTCCACTTTTCAAGGCCTCTTTCAAATCATTACGGTCAGGAAGGTGGAATACACCAGGTGCTGGCTTCTTGCGAGGAGGTGACACAGTACTATTTGTGGAGTCGCTCTCTCTGCGAACATGAGCCCGCTTTGCTGATGGACGTGTCGGATTATGTGCTGAGCTGTCAGTAACAGTGGAATTACGTCCCACAGTAGATAAGGCATCTGGTCCTTCGAAGTCAAGACCAAATGGGTCTTCATCCTCTTGTTGTGCGGCCCATGGGTCATCTGAGTTGGTGCCGGAAGTTCGAGGGTCTCGTTCTTCAGTAACAGTAATGATAGATCTGTGTCGTTGGAGCTGTTCACGCAAGATATTCTGAGAAATCTATGAGTTAGCAGAGTGACAATACATCGAATGAGCGGAATCTTACTTCTTCTTCAGTTTTATCCAGCCATGCCTCATACTCACTCCACTGCGCTGCAGGCACAACAACCATGAGTAAGAATTGCTTGGTCTTGAAAGTTGTCGTCTTTGGTCCGCGTCGAGATTGGACTAAGCACTGAGCTAAGAAGTACGGAATGGCAGGCAAATGTCCGGATAGGTCAACCCAGGTAGCATCCCGGACAACAAATTCTTCTGTGCGCCAAGGAAATCCCCTTCCAAATGTGAGGATTTTCGGTAGAATAGTATCTAAAGCGATTTGTATAAGCCCAGGGGCGTCCAAGCGAGCATCGATGTCCTTCTTTCCTTCACAAATATTCTGATTTATGAGCATCAGAAAAACAGCAACCTGGAGAGATAGAAAGAAAAACAAATGTACCCCAAAGTTAATGCCGCGCCCACTTTTCTTCCGTGAATTTCCCTCGTATACAGCTGATATCTCTAATGTGATGGTCTCTGCAGGGGGCGGAGCATATGCCAATTTAGCCCATCGTTCACGCTCCAGACCATACTGAGCATGGTGCACAGAATACCCTGCAGCACCAGATACCATGTTCGGGTTGGAACTAGCCGGCGATTGTTGCCATGATAGAGGCACAGCGATATCTGGGCCTGAAATGCGGCCTATGTGCGCAGTGCTACTGGAGGGCTGAGACAAGAAGGGTACTACACGGGGTGGATTGATAGTTGCTATTGAATTTCGCCATTCAGACATGTTTGATATGTAATAGAGAAATTTGACTTACACTTGCGTTGTGCTGCATTCACGGTCTGGCGTATGATATGAGGATTTGGAAGTAACTGTGATTGTGCGGCTGGATGTAATTAATAGCGTCATTGATCAAAAGCTATATAGGGGTTTCAAGTGTACTTACAAGAAGGGCGGACTGAAGAGGGTCGGACCGAAGTTGAAAGCTTCTGTGAGTATCGCAAGTAACATGCTTCACAAACGAAGCGACCAGGTTGGCCAGGCACAATGGTGGCAACATAATAGCATGGAGCGCCTTTGAGTATTGTGCTGCGGCAAGCAGGTCGACCACAGACACGGTCCTCCTTGGCAACAGCATCTTCGGTAAACTGAGAGACGAGTTCCATGATGCTAGTAGGTGCTTGTGTGATGAGTTGAAGGAATTGAAGGAATATAACAGTGGCCCTACAACACTTCAGAGACAGGCTTTATATAAAGACTGTTTGGAAAAACTCACCGCTCTGAAGAGTCGCATCTAGTAAGTGGAGGGTCATTGATATCCCGCAGTACTGAGTTGCATCTAAGTCGAGAGTCAGCAAATTCTTCAGCGAGTTGGATCATTGTGCGCAACATGTGAGTCACCATGATCATGGTCAAAATGATGCACAGATTCACCATGTGGTCGAAACAGCACACAGATTCAACATATTAAAGTTATCTGCCGCAGTGTATCCGAAAGTCTCCGCATCGGACTTATCACGGCGGACTTTATTCAATTGTACTGACCGTTCAAGTCTAGCCATTTGTCGCATTCAACCTCAGGCTGCAACTCTATCGGTGCAGTCGCATTCAACCTGGTGTTCATTCAGCTAAATCTTATCTTGGTGTTCAAGTTGGTGCTCAGTGCACCTATTCTGCTGGCTCCACTCTTATCTTGGTGTTCCTATTCCACTGGGTGCAGTCACATTCAACCTGGTGTTCATTCAGCTAACTCTTATCTTGCCAGTGGTGTTCAAGTTGGTATTCAGTGCGCCTATTCTGCTGGCTCCACTCTTATCTTGGTGTTCCTATTCTGCTGACCAGTGCACCTATTCCGCTTATTGCTATCAGCACTTGCCATTGAAGCTTTTAAAGTGCAGCTATCATGGTGACCGTCAGTCAAACTACTATGCCCAACCAAAACAAACCAACCCGTATGCACCTCTCTATGTATTGTGATTACAAGGCTAACATGACTTGCAATATCAGCACCTCTTGAGGTGATTGCTCCTCACATCCTTCGGTACTGGAAAGCGCGTCAAACAGACAGGAAGATTGTAGAAAACTTGCAGAATCATTTTGACACGTCTCGTTATGGACTAGGGTGAGTCGATTTCCACTAATTGATACTATTTTTCTGATCTTTGTGTGTAGATACACGAAGTTCAGAGAGATCCGCAATGACATGGGTCTCCTGCGTACCCGCCAGCAGAGCCACACCATCGAATCTATCCGTGAAGCCATGATCGAGCTTCGCAAGGCATACCCAAATGCTGGTGCGCGGGAAATGGTGATTTTGCTATTTCACGAGAAAGAAATGAGCGTTTCAAGGTACTTAATTTGTTTGACGTTGATCTGTATCTGACTAGCTACCAAATAGAAATTTAGTGATAGCATACTGTGCCATCTATGAAGCAGACCTCGTACATCAGCGAAAAGCTCGCCGTCTCAAGCGGAGGCGGTTCTGGGCCGCCGGCGTCAACGACCTATTTGCTGTTGATCAACATGATAAGTGGCTTCGATTCGGTCTTGCATTGCACACTGGAGTGGAGCCATTCTCGGGTCGCATCATGTGGATCCGAGTGTGGCATTCCAACCGCAACCCCCAGCTCATTCTCACTTACTATCTTGAGACCATCCAGAAACTGGGTCGTAAGTTTGTTTTAATAACTATCTATCGCACTGTTACTCATTTAAGTTGCCTTGCCTGGGTATGACAGATATGCCACTAGTGACTCAGAGTGATCCCGGCACTGAAAACTATGGAATCGCCAATGCACACACTATGCTTCGTCAAATGTATGATCCGGCACTGCAAGGTACATTACAACACCGCTGGATGCGGACCAAGAAGAATGTTAAACCGGAGATCACTTGGTCTCAGTTGCGGCGCCGGTTTACTCCTGGTTTTGAAACACTCTTGGATGAAGGAGTGGAGAACGGCTGGTATGATAGTGATAACACCCTTCAGGTGTAAGTGACTTCGGGCCTGGCTTTCCACCATTTCGACTTTGCTCACAGTGGTGTATTTAGCATGATCTTCCGCTGGATTTTTATTCCATGGCTTCAGTGTGAGCTAGATAGGTATCAGGACCGCGTTAATAACACCCTCAAGAGGCCAGATCGTAACAAGGTATTTGATTGTTTGATAGTAGTCATTTACATTTGTTTAGCGCTTACAATCTAGGTGCTTCCACACGGTGTACCTAATCTAATATACGAGTCTCCAGAAGATTTCGGGGCCTTGAACTTTAAGGTGCGCTTCATTCAAATACTACTTGAACCACGTTGTCACACTAACTGGCTTATTATTCTAGGTAACAGTCAAACAAGACGATATAGACTATGTCCGCCGTCTCTATGTGAACCCTGATCATCCGGTCTTCGATTTGGTTCCCCGAGCCCTCAACAACTTCATTCAAGGCTGTTATGAAGACCTAGGCCGCCCTCCAATCACTCGTCAGTCTGTATGGACGGTCTACTTAGATTTGTATGATTCGATGCAGCGCTCTGTGCAGGTGCCAGCTGTTGTCAGGTCTCTTACAGATGGCACTGACCCGGATGAAGAGCCTTTGCCTCTCCTCGAAAACCAAAATGACCTTTTTTTTCATGAGGATACTGATGGTGCTTACTATATGGGTGGCATTCACGGCGGACAAGGTCTTGGTACGTTTTCTCTGTTTGAATCAAGTTTGCACTAAATTACCGCACATTAGATGCATCTGATCATCACCGGCTGGATGAACTGGCTGAGTTGGACGAACCAGGTGCACACTTACTGCCTACAGCCCCAATCATAGAGGAAGAGGCATTAGTTATTGCGGGATTCTCTGATGAGGAGGACAACGATGAAACATTTGATTGGTGACTTAACTTAGTGTAGAGTTTGTCTTTTTGTGTTAGTTGAACTAGCAGTGACCCATGGCTACACCCCTCAGTCGTGTTTAAAATTTGCACAATTTGCAATGAACAACAGTCCCCCGACTCTATGAAGTAGGGAGGGTTTTGTCAGGACGCAAACGGTCAATTGTCTGTAAATCAGTTGCAGCTTACGTGTATTGAATGAAAAACCGTCCGTCGTGACCACGCGTACTTGATTTCCACGTTCAACTCGCAACAACTCTGGAATGCAAGGGCATCAACAAATGTATTGGGCCATGCCCCCTTGCGTGATGTATATGTGGACGATAGAGAGGGGAGCGTGAAATCCACCTCAGTCAGCCCGGGGCAAAACGGCCAAACCGAGCGTCGTGGGTGGAGGAGGTGAGGAGTTCAAATGTGGACATGGGGGAGGGTGGGGGTGAAACCACCTCGCTCAACCCGGGGCAAAACGGCCAAACCGAGCATTGCGGGTGGCCCAGGAGAGAGGTCCAACAGGGCACGCAATGGGATAGAAGGCAGGGGTAACTCACCATCAAAAAATGCGACCATCTCAGGGGTGACACAATGGCCAAGCTTGGGGCACAGCATGAGGAGCGCTTGCTCACTGAACTTGTGAAGGGAGGGTAAAGCTAAAAAGTCGTAATCATACTTGCTAACAAATGCAGTGGCAATTGAGAAGTATGTGAATGGTCCTTGACAACAGTCCACATACAAGATTCAGATAGAATAAAAGGTGGAGGTCGTATATCGAAGGTACAAGCATGTACAGCATATAGAAAACAAAACCAAGCAGAGTCGGGGACTGGCGGCATGGCCGCCAGCTACTGATATAGTAGATGACACTAGAGGTGCACGGAGTCCCTGCATCACACCTGCCCGATATGAGTGTGGTCACGCTATGTAACGGAGCGCGGCAGTCCTGTCTTCCATAGGTTCATTATTTTGCCAAAGAAAGAAGGTGACCCCCGAGAAGTTGACCCTTTGAAGATCTCACCTGACCTATTTTTCCGCGCCACCGCTTGTCATAATTACTAAAATTAGACCAAATATGAGTTCAAGGAACGACCACCGTTCGCTGTTCTAGTGTCCACGATGAGCAGTGAAAACGAACCTCTAATTCCAAGCGCCGAACATGAGACGGTGCACCAGAAATCTCGTACACTTCGCAACCGCGCACTCGTCTGGTCTGCGCTGGTTGTTATAATCATCGTTGTTGCAGTCGTCGCACTGGTTAACCCAAGCTTTGTAAGCGATATTGGTCTGCCGGAAAAGCTGCCCCGGGATCCTAAGCTTGCAGCACAGCGTGTGCTAGACACTGCTCCGGTCATCGTACGCCTCTTGACCCATATCTTCCGCTCATTCCTTGCTGACGGAATACATAGGATGGGCACATTGGTATGTTTCCTTCCCAATATGACCTGTCTGTCATCTTACAGTGCGCTTTTAAGATCTTCCTATAGTTGCTCGCTTCGGCTGGCGCAACAATGTTACCGATATTCATCTTGACAGTCAAATGCCTATGCATGTGGATATTCCACGTCTGAGGGAAGGGAAAGTCGGAGGATTCTTTTGGTATACAGCGGTATCCTTGCATTCTACTTTGAACTGACTTTCATCAGGTCTGTATATGTGGATTGTGCAAGCTCTGAAGATGAGGGCCCCGATTTCTTGAAGGCTTCCTGGCGCGTCCGGTCTGAATGTTCCTTGTTGAGCTCAATGCATCTCGCTGACCGCATGTAATGATAGAGACACCCTCGAGCAAATTGACGTCGCAAAGGGTCTGATATCGAAGTATCCTGACGTGAGTCTCATATTCCTTAATGCTAGTAATACTGACTGATGTCTGGCGCAGGATTTTGCATACGCTGTCAGTGCAAGTGGTATCAAATCAGCGATAAGAGACCACAAAATCGCGAGCATTCTAGGTGTTGAGGGGTGAGTACCACTTCCCTGGCTCCTTCCATTCCCCTAAGGTCATCTCAGTGCCCATCAACTCGGGAATTCCATTGCCGTCCTCCGCCAGTACTACGAACTTGGGGTTCGCTACGTAACTCTGACCCACAGCTGTCACAACGCTTTCGCCGACTCCTGCGGTATGTTGATACCGAGTGTCCCCAGGCACTACGGCCTCAGCCCTCTTGGCTTCAAACTCGTGGAGGAGATGAACAGACTTGGAATGCTTGTTGATCTATCTCATACTTCTGACATGACTGCAACGCAAGCCCTACTGCATTCCAAGGCACCAGTCATCTGGTCCCATTCATCTGCGAGGGCCATTCACGATGTTGCTCGCAATGTGCCTGATGAAGTGCTTAGTCTCGTCGGCTTTGGCGAAGGGCAAAGGGATGCCGTTGTTATGGTCTGTCCAGAAAATAATCGATCTACTCATTTTAATGGTTGTGCAGGTCAACTTCAATGGCCCATTTGTCGCTGCCGACGGCGAGGCAGATCTTGAAACCGTCGCTGATCACATTGAGCATATTGCAAAAGTTGCTGGAGTGAAACAGTAAGTTATGACCGATACTCGCTCGGCTGCCGATCTGACGGTTGTCGCAGCGTCGGGATCGGGAGCGACTATGATGGGATTCAAATTACTCCAAAAGGACTCGAGGATGTTTCTAAATATCCTGCTCTTGTACGCGGCATCTTTCCACCTAAATCTAAACGATGACTGACTGTTCTGACTTCTAAGATCGCTGAGTTGTACCAACGTGGATGGAGCAAGCAAGAACTAGCTGGGCTCACTGGGGGCAATTTCCTTCGGGTGTTTGAGGGTGCAGAGAAGGTGGCCAAAGAATTGCAGGCTGCAGGAACCTTGGCTAAATATGACATTTACGATAAGAGAGAAGACCTGCCCATTCGCAGGGAGCTTTGATATGTTCAGGGAGGTGCGGTACGTCTATTTGCATGACTATCTAGATCCGTTTCAGTTGCGAATGTAATTTGCTATGTTTATTTCTGTGTTAGTGATGAAATATCATTTGAAGAATTTGCTCACACGTCCAAAAATATTTCCGAGGCATTTTTCTTCACGCCTCCTCACCATGGACGATCGCCCCAATCACGCCGCGTTACAAAAACCTTGGTCTGTGATCTGTGACGTGGTAGGCGGTGTAATAAGCGTGGCCCTCTTGATCGACAAGAACGAGTTCAGCGAGATACGCGACGGATGTCGCTGTTGCCGATGACGGCGGCATGATTGCCACAAGGCTTTGTCGCATGCCTCCCACGTGCCCATGACCGGGTAGGACCTCCGGGACTCGTCGCGAACACTACGATTGTGTGATACCGGATCTGTACACCAAAAGCTTCATGTTTGATCCTCCGGGCTGGACATGGGGCACTTTGGGTACCATCCTATCGTCCTGCCTTCGGCCTCCAGATGCCCCACGTCAAGGAGAGTAGAAGCACACCTAACAAGCAATACCTTGACCTTCGCGTATCGGGCGCTAATGGCGAGTAAGCATACCCCACATCATGAGACGGTCTGCCCTGTATTTCAAATACATTTTGAACATGCGCCTATAGGAAACTGGTGACTTTGGCAAGCAATTAATGGTAATTCCGTTCCCTGAGCCGTGCAAGGACTGCCTGACATGTCCCAAGGCGATTGTGATGCTGACATCAAAACACTTATCACGCTGTAAGCAGTGTCCTCGCTGCGAGCCATCCTACGCATAGCTGCCCATGACATCTTCATCACTATCTGGTGTGTCCAGAGTTGAAAGCCGACTGTCCGAAGAGTATGCCAGTCATTTTAGAGACATCTCTTGCGAATGCCTAGTACACCGCACGCATGATAGATGCTTGGGCTGTCTGGGTCCTTGTTATTGAGGTTGGTTGTTTAGTTCTCGAATTCGATTTGCTCTGGAGCGAGTGGCTCCTGTAATGTATATCCTCGTGGAAACCGCGGATCATATATAAACGTCGAGGTATGACTAGGTGACGGATATTCTACGCATATAAACGCGTTGCGGCTGCATATGAATACAGAACGAATGGTTCCGTCTAGTTCTGCTTGTCAATGCAGTGTAGAACTGCTTTGAGGTGCGCAGTAGGAACTCGGGCATGAGGAGGAAAGTATATGATAGATCAAATAGAGCTCGAGCGGAGAATTAGAGAACTGAGACTGGCCATGGTCAAAACTGGGGTAAGTTTGGATTCCCACATGACGACATCTTAAGTACATTATGTAATTGGAGTAGCTCAAGTGACTGGGAAAACGTACGATAAAGGGATAAAGGCGGTGTCAAACGTGTTCGTGCAGTGATTAATGAAGCATAAGTACGCAAATCAGGGTCACCTAGTTGATGAACGAGATGCAGAGATCGATGCTGCTTAGAGCAGGAGAGATCCTGTGGTGATGCTGTTGATGCGTGTGATTTGAGCAAAGATGATAAAGCGAGCCGTTTGGCTTCAACCATCATGCGTTCCATCTCTTCTTGGCTGGCTGGTCACGGGGTATGAGATCTGAGATTCGAGCGCTTGAGCGCCGAAGCTCAGCTGGACGATAGTCACCCCTATAAGTTAGACCATAATAGAAGACGAGGCGTCGAGATTCGGACGCGCACACGTGACTAATCGACGTCATACAAGAGTTTGTCGTCATTAGGAGCCGGTGTTGGATATAAAGGCATACGCTCATCCAACACCAACTACACACCACACTTGATTTATACCGCCTCCTTCACAATGTACCGAGTACCAAATTTGCGTTCCAGCGTCATTCACGGTCGTGTCCCGACCGCCATCCTTCCTGTCGTGAGTCGAGCGGTGTTCCATCATTCTCAAACCTAACTGCGAATCCAGGCGCGTAGGATGTACGCAACCCAGCCCCCGCCGGGGCAAGCGTCGCCCAATCCAAAGGTCAGCCCTTCCACCGATGGTGGCGGACACAACAACGGCCTCATTATCGCATCTGCTGTTGCGGCACTTGGAGGAATGTACTATTTCTACAACCGCGACCGGGGAATCAGTCTTCAGGAGAAAAAACGTAGAGATGAGGAAGATATGAGGCGGGCAGTGCGTGCAGCGCAGGGCGATATAAAGCAAGCTGAGCAAGCAGGGAAGGCAAGGGCCGAGGATGCCCTTAAAGAAGCTCAGGAGAGCTATGGTACTGCGAAGGTCGGTTGTCTGAGAATCCAAGTGGATCGCATCGTCTGACCTGCTACGTGTAGGCCTCAGCTAAAGAGAAAGCGACTGGATCCCGCCAAAAAGTAGATGAATCTCTCCACGACCTGACTGAACGGGCACGACAGACAGCACACGAAGCACAGGAAAAACTGAATCAGTACAAGAATGCAACTGAGCAAACACTAGCGGACGCCAGGAGGACATCCGAACAAAAGTTTGAGGAGACGAAACACGCCGTCACACAACGCGCGGATGAAGCCAAGGACGCAGGCCAAACCTGGTTTAGTTGGGGGCAATCAAAGACAGACGAGGCGAAACGTGAAGGCGTTCAGAAAGTTGCAGAGAGTGCAGAAGATGTTAAGAAGGGGGCAGAGAGACAGGTATGAGATTGCGATGAACTTGAATCAACATTTGACGAGCTGTACACCTAAATCAGTATTGTAAATACATTATCCTATATTGCATATTATTCTCTCCGCGCTTCAACGAGATGTATTACAGGTGCGAAGAGTTTTGCGGACCGGGACCGTGGGGAACATGAGATTTGACTGCCGGTATTTACCGTATGTGCTTCTTCAATTTGCCACTACTCGGTGACAACCCTGAGCAAGTCGAACTCGGCTGAGTCGGCCGGCGGAACTGAGCGCTGATCAGGTGTATATCGATCACCGTCTTTGAATTGTCTGGTGTCGTGGCTTAGATGGCCGAAATCCAGACCAAGGTTATCCTTGTAGGCTTAGGGTATGTGAACACTTCACATTTGAATACGAACTACTGATTGACTATTCTACAATATTGACAAGGGGTGCTACTTGTTCAGGAAAGACCACTCTCGCGAAGCATCTGAAGAGTATACTGCCCAATAGTGTCATTGTGCACCAGGATGTCGGTGAATTTCTCAAAAAATGTCAGCATTAACTTATCTGTGGCAGGATTTTGCTCCAGTAAGCCACGATGCTCAAATCGATCGTATTTTTTTCGCTGAGCTGTCGCGCAGCCTGAGGAACTACTTCCCATAAAGCATGGCTACCAGGACTGGGATGCTCCAGATTGCGCAATCGACTACCCACGACTTTCCAAATTTTTAAAGCACGTGAAAGACACAGGAAGCATACCAGATGATCATAAAAGCCATGACGAGTTGAACAAGCAGACGGATTTACCCATAGATGCAGAGTGTCAACACCGTCTGGCTGAGCGCTTCAGAGTTATCCAAGATCAAGCCAAGGAGAATGACCACATCAATATAGTATGGGGCTTGGTCGACGGATTTCTGTTGTATTGGAATCAGGTGCGTCAGCATTGATGCCACCATAGAATGAGGAATCAATGTGACTCGGTCATAGGAAGTCATAGAGCAACTAGACATGCGTTTCTTACTCCGTGTTCCACTCAAGACATTGGAAGGCCGGAGGAAAGCGCGGCAGGTTTACATCACAGCAAGTATGTCTTTCAGCATTTTCCGCTCTATCTTCGCTCCTATTCCGCTCCGATGATTATTGACTTTTGCTCCTTTTCATTACCTCTTGGATGTCAATCTTGCCCACGCCGACGCGTCTAATTTCCCCTTAACTCCACGCGCCTCCCCTCTTTGTCCACAACACTCATGACTTGTGCGGCTACTCTCATGGAGTGCATTTTACTGAAGAGGGGGATGCATGGGTAGACCCCCCTGACTACTGGGAGAAGATCGTCCTCCCTGCATACCTAGACGCACACCACGAAATATTCGAGGGTGGTGATGTTGAGAATGGGGGCCTGACGAATAAGGTGAAAGGTCTTGTTTTAATCGAGTCTGAGAAAGAGGACAAAGAGATGAGCATGACGAATATGGTCGAAAGGTGCTGCCAGGAGTTATATCAGTTTGTCATAGCGGAAGGGTCGAAAAGGGAGTCAAGGCATAGATTGCGGTGTCATCGGATATGTGCACGACTGTATACCACAGATCACGCGTAAATAGAATTTTAAAATAAATTTTCTGCTTAGTTGTTGGTGTAACATATAATTCTGCAAGCTTGTGAAAGAGGGACACCGGGAATAGGTTCCCGGAAGGAGAATCCACGGAGGGTTGACGGAGGTCTTGTTCCTTGTTGGCCGCCCGTAATTTCCATGTTTTTCAATACCCGAACGCTGACATAATTATGCAACAATCACATGCTGCATTTTAATTTAAACCTTGCGCATTGTGATTGGCTAGCAATTAAAGGTACTTGACCCGGAACCGCTTACCCCAACTGACTACCCATCTTGCTCCCTCTCCACTACCATCATCTCCGCACAATTATCGCAATGTCACAAGTCATTGTTGTTGGAGGTGGTCTTGCTGGTCTCTCTGCAGCTCACACTCTTCTTGAGCGTGGTGCTAATGTATTGCTACTTGACAAGCAAGGGTATGTGACAAGGATTCACATTGAAAGTGAAACAGTTATTGACGGAGTTCCGCAGATTCATGGGTGGAAACTCCACCAAGGCCACTTCTGGTATCAACGGTGCTGGTACCCAGACACAGCAGGAGGCTGGTATTCCAGATAACGCAAAGATTTTCTTCGAGGACACGAAGAAATCCGTGAGTGATCCCATATTTGTGCTCGAGTCTCATACCAATCCATTTCAGGCTCGTGAACTTGCTCGCGATGACCTCATCCGTGTGTTGACCGGCCGCTCAGGCGATGCTGTCAATTGGCTACAGGACAAATTCGGCCTTGACCTCTCAAAGGTCGCGCGGTTAGGAGGCCACAGTCAGCCCCGCACACACAGAGGGAATGCACAATTCCCTGGTATGGTATGTGGCCGCAATATCCGTTCCTTCCGTGTCGAACTTGTACTAACTCCGCATTTCTCCACCGACAGGTTATTACTTACGCACAAATGGAGCGCCTGGAGGATTTGGCAGTGAGCCAGCCAGACCGCGTGAAAATTTACAAGAAGGCCCGTGTCACAAAGCTTGTCAAAGACGAGTCTGGCACAGTTACGGGCGTTGAGTATGTCCGCAATGGCAAGACAGAAACTGCATACGGCCCCGTCGTTCTCGCTACTGGTGGTTATGCCGCCGATTTCACTGGCGGTGACTCTCTGCTGAAGAAGCACCGTCCCGAATACTATGATCTCCCAACGACAAATGGTGACCACTGCACGGGTGATGGTCAGAAGATTGCCATGGCTATTGGTGCAAGTGCGATCGACCTAGAGAAAGTGCAGGTGCACCCGACGGGTCTTGTTGATCCTAACGAGCCCGACGCGAAAGTGAAGTTCTTGGCTGCAGAGGCTCTTCGTGGTGTTGGTGGTTTACTACTTGACAAGAACGGCGACCGTTTCGTCGATGAGCTTCAACATCGTGACTACGTCACTGGCAAGATCTGGGAGAACGGCAAGGTATTTGAATGTACTTGTTTCTTTTTGCCATTCACCCAATGATTCTCCCTAGTATCCCATTCGCTTGATCCTGAACGGACAGGCTTCAAGCGAGATCGAATGGCACTGCAAGCACTATGTCGGTCGTGGTCTCATGAAGCGTTTCGATTCCGGCGAGGCTCTTGCTAAAGATATGGGCGTCAAGCCTGAATATCTTAAGAAGACTTTCGACACGTACAACGCGGGTGTCAAGGCAAAGAAGGATCCCTTCGGCAAGAAGGTAATGTCCATTCTTAAGATATTTCACTGTTACTCAACTCCAGAAGTACTTCTCATCAGGAGAGTGGAGCATGAACGACTACTTCAACGTCGCAATCATGACCCCTGTATTGCACTACACCATGGGCGGTTTGGAAATCGACCCCGAGTCACGCGTCATCGGCAAGGACGGCAAACCCATTGCTGGTCTCTTCGCTGCTGGTGAGGTTGCTGGGGTGTACATGGTGCCAACCGTCTTGGTGGTTCGTCACTGCTTGGATGTGTTGTTTTCGGACGTGTATCTGGCGACTCAGCTGCTGCCTATCTCCTCCAGACGACTAGCGCCATCGTGGAGAAGGCAGGCGGACGTCTTGGTGCATTCGTAGGACAGTTCGAGTCGAAGCCCGCTGCTTCATCTGCACCTACACAGCCTGCTGCCACGAGTGTCCCCGCCCAGTCGTCGTCACTATCAAAGGAATTCAGTGCCGCGGATGTAGCTAAGCACAATAAGAAGGACGACATCTGGGTTATTGTTAATGGCCAGGTGCTGGACGTCACATCCGTAAGCGTAGGCCTTCTAGTTCTGCAACTTTCCTGATTTTTCGGCACAGTCTTGCCTGATCACCCAGGAGGCGAAAAAGCTATTATTCTTTACGCTGGTCGTGACGCGACTGAGGAGTTCAACATGCTCCACGACCCGAAGGTATGAAACACTGTCTCAATTCCTTGTTCTTGGCTCATTCGCTGTGTAGGTTATCCCAAGATATGCACCAGACGCTGTCATTGGTACACTGAAGAAGTAGGGGGGAAATGATGCTACGACTACGCTCAGCAAAAGTAGAGGATCCATATTTGTCATCTTTCTTCAGCATCGCATATCTCTTTCTCCCCATGTCTCTACTTGGTTGCTGTGATCCAGTGTATTCTAATGTTGTCTTCATACCATTTTCAACTGACTGATCCACGAGGCCAACATGAGGCCGTGGCTGTTGAACACTGTAAGTACTGAATGTCGAATTAAATCTTGATACGCCTCTGCCCCTGGGAATGTTCGCCTTTTGCTATTTTGGATGTGAGCCCCGCTTGCCATGGCGCCACTTCATTTTGAACGATATTGTTCACATATCATGGGCACCCAATTGGTTACTGTGTCTGGCCACAACCGTGACTTGTATACCGCTGTGCCGTCTCTAGTTGAATCGGGGGGAGAAATAGGATGGACACGAGTACTTGCAAGGGTTGGCCAAGCTACCAACGCTTCCGATAGTCATATGCTGTGAACTGCGTGACCATGTTAGCGTATGGCATATGCGCCTTCTGGCCTCCTTTGTGAGCCTCCGTGGCGTCGGAGGAGTCATCCGAAAAATGTAAGTATTTATTCCCGATCCCAAAGTAGATGATAAGACCCGACACATTGAGCTGATTTTTATGTTCTATACAGAAGGGCGGGGATGCCATACTGCGCACCCACAGTATACGGTCCCAGACTTCCGGCTGAAGCTTTCATCGTCCCGTGATATGTGCGGGAGGCTGTGCGTACTACGTTCTTCCACTCCGCCAACTGTGTGAAATGGCGTCTTCCCACCATTACCACCACCACTACCACCACCACCACCTCCTCCACCGCCGCCGCCAGTGCGTGTGTGTGTACCGTCGCCACCATTCTGTGCGCCGCACACCGCGGTCCCGCTCACGCCATTATGTGATTGCTCCCTTTTTCGTGAACCCGTTACCTGTCGTTTTCTTCAAGTACGCCAATGTGGCCCAAGGATAACTCTCATGTGGAAAATTATCGGTGCAATTGCTCTTCGCCTATCAACGTGGCTGTTAGTGGACCCTCCGCCTCCTTCTATGACTCGCATTACCGGCTTGACAATTATTGGCATTGGCGGACATGCCCGAACACTCAACATGTCGGTACCTGTTGCCTTTCTTGGAGTTCCACCAGCCATTACTGGAAGCTGTACTCGGCCAAGGTTCATGGATTTATGGACTGGTGGCTAGAGGGACATTCGGAACTAGGTATAAAAAGCGACCCGCCTGGCCTTATGGTAGTAGAAGACGATCCAAACCCTCCATTTCAATCCAACTATAATCGATCGCCTACATGCAGTCCTCTAACCCAGTCGCTGGTGCCGCGGTATTCAGAAGCAATGAAAATACAGGGTAATACATGAAATCTAATCGTTCCAAGATTAGAGGGTCTGACTTTATTGCGTGTGCTAGCCCAAATTACGCCCCTGCAACTTCTAGCGCTTCGACCGCGTGGTGGTCTGGACCCACTGTCGATGGTCCACCAGACCAGCGCTTCCAGGTAACTTCACCATTTCTCCAGATTTTGGCAATGCAGTATGTTGTTATCCTTGATATCATTATGCCAATTTCTCATTGCGAAACTACAGGAACTCTGGATACCAGCACCATGTGAACGATAATACGGCATTCCGTAGCGTTCCTGAGAACTCTATGTTATCACACTCAGAGACAGCAGATGATAGAACGTTTTACTATCCTCAAGATCCATTGTGTCCTCCGCCTGTGGATGAAAATCTAACCCAGCATATATTTGGTAGGTCTATCGGATCAGTAACGAGCATTTATTCACTCAGCTACTAGGAGCCAGTTCAGACCTGTTTGGTAAACAAGGCCAATTCCCTCCGTCCTCGCAGGTGATGACATTACAGCCGTCGACGGAACCATTGCCTATCATGATGCCGCCTCAAGAACAACGTTTGTCATTCTCTCCAACATTTAATCATAACCTCTGATCGTCCTTGCTCCAGCGGCCCTTCATGAATGCGCGTGGATTGAAGATGATAAACTGTGTGGTCATGCCATTTCGGATCACAAGCGCCAGCTTGGCATGCATCTTGGCAACTTTCATGGCATACATGGAAACGACAAGAAAGAGGTTACATGCTTCTGCGGGCTTGCAATCAAAAGATGCAAAGAGGCGCCATCGGG